AATAATTAAAAAAGGAAAAAAACAAAAAAAAATTTCTTATGAATAAAGCATTGCTAATGTATAAGAAAAAGAATCTTTTGAAGAATTGCTTCGAAACAAATATATTAAATCCCTTATATCACAATATATTGACATATATAATTTTTTTTCCCATTTTAATTAAAAAATTTTTGTTTGATAATATTCACTTTGCTAAATATTTTATTTGGTTGTTAATATGCGTCATATCCTAATTAATCTTTCTTGTTTTACTTATCATTTTGGTATTAGAACGAAGTAAAACCGTTTGCTATTCTAAGGTCATTTATCAAATAACTGGAAAATATTTCAAGATTTTAGTTTTTGTAGTTTTTATATTTAAGATTTACTATTAAGATTTACTAATTGATAAATTTTAGAATCTCTTGTTTATTGTCTAGATCCGTATTTATTGATGGTCGTTATTACGAAACATATAAGAAGTAAACATAAACTATGTCGAATCTTTTAGTTATTTATTTTAATCTGTTTTGTCTCGGACAAAATTTCTTGTTAGAATGAATATTTTTTATGAAAAATTTGAATTATATATCAATACAATAGATGTTTAAAAAAAGGGTGAAGTACACAATCAAGAACGATATGTATTTAAATATTTTGAATGTTCTTAAAGTACGAAATCTAAATATGTCATGAAAACAGTAACGGTCATAAATGTCCTTAAAAAAATGTCCTCTTGCAAATGTCTTCGGATAATGGTCCTCGAAAAATTGTCCTTAGCAATAAATGTCCTTTTACATCAAGCTGCACACTATATATCAATAGTCTGCTACCAATGCGGTTTAGTCACCCACCGTCATCTCACTCATACCCACACTCATCGTCACTCTCACCCGTTCCCTCTGATGCACATGTCTTTTCTTTACATTTTTCGCGGAAAACAGATGTATGTGCACAAAGGACACTTGAATAGTTGCTTTTATTTGCGTAGAAAAAGAATGAATAAGAAAATTGTGAATGACGCACCTGGTTGACTATTAGCAGTGAGTTTTTTCCACTTTAAAGGTGAATAACGCAAAGTCAATATTCAGGTGTGGGTTGGGGTGTGGGTGTATAGGATTTTAATTAAACAGATCCACACCCACACCCTCAAGCTCACATGTTCGAGATATCATTCATCCATAAATGAAAGTGATTAGAACTAATTACCGTAAAAATCCATTCATATGTGAGAAGAATTGCAACACAATCTTCACAGGGACATTTTTCATTACACTTTTGCTTCTGTACTAAGAAGAGTGAATGGAAAAGAGTGTATTTCTTTTACTTATCCGCTTCAATATCATATTTTGCATAAAGAAGAAAAAAAACATATCCTCATCGTCAAGATCCAACAAATCGCATTGCAGATCGAATTTTGTACTTGATGATGTTCTTAATAGTGATTACGAAGGCTATCTATATCGTCTGATTTCATTAATCGAATTATCTTGGAAAGTCGAAAAGAAGGTAATTTGTATAGACCAAAGATATTCTTCAGTGAATATATGATCTTTAATCCAACCTCTTTTATTAGAATATAAGAGTAGTTTAATTCCGCAAACACATAACAAGCAATATATGCATCCATAACCAACTACGACAGAGCCGACTTGATGGGTAAACAAGAATGAAAAACGATTAATAGGGTTATGAAATTTATCATTGATCTGAAATAAATAAGTCTATTTAATATTATTTATATCATCATCAGAATACATCTTAATTAGGTAGGCAAAGGTACCTGTTGATTACAATTGTTAATGCATAGTTTTAATCTAATATAAACTGAACGATAATTCTTCTCTTATTCGTTAAAATATTGAAGTTTAGAATAGAATTTCATTTCAAGGAAATATTTCAACTAAGTTAATTAAGATTGCTCGATTTTTATCTCATAAATATTCAGATATTCTTTTTCAAAACTCTAACAGTTAATATGTTCTAACCAGAATTTTCCTATTGATCTATCGACTGATAACATTTAATTGCTAATATTTTGATTGATCCTCAATTTTCGACGATATTGACAAAGATTAATTGCCATTGATCATAAAATATGTATATAATTATTGCAAATATTCAAATAAAACTGTAATCAAATAAATGGATCGATGTTCGATCATATTTTTTGAAAACATTGAACAAAGCTCATTGATTAATTCAATTGTTGAAGGTTGAGATGTATACAAAAATGTATCTTCTTATTCCAGTCACTGAGAATGAATAAGTCTATATGCAGATGAAAATATTGGTCAAATGATTGGACAAACTAAAAGATATAATATTTGATAGAACTGAACGTTTACTAAGATTGAAATTAAACCAATTCCACAAATATTCTGCTTTCTTTTGATGAATTATTCATTCTAATAATTTTGTTTTGACTTTAAAATAAACAAAAACTATTCAAAATAAATTCTATATATATTTAGTACTCACTTCTTGTCTTATCCATATGTGAAGATATGATTTATCTAGACGAATTGTCCGTCCAATCGAAACATGTAGTCGTTCGATAAATGGAAAAAGAAGACAAAGTCAATTAATAATATATGAATCACTAATAATATGAAATTCAGAAATTATTAATATACGAATCTGTTCAAATCGTAGATTTTTGAATGTTTCGAAAAATTTCTACGAAGGAAAAACTGGAATTCTTTTAGAATGAATAAAAACACTATATTCTCAATTTTTTGAGTCTTTTATGTGATTCCAATCGATAGTTTTTAGCATAGAGTTTTCATTTAACAATACGATTTCAAATTATTTCTCCTGGAAAGATCAATGAAAAGAAAGATATTATTGAATCGAGTCCATAATGTATTACACAAGAACAGAAAATACGTTAAGGGGGGCCCCCCCCTTAGAAAATCGAATTTTTCAAGGGAATATCGAAGTTGAGTTTTTATCACAGGAAGATGCGGCGAAGCTTCCTCTTTCAGAATATATATAGCTTTTTGGAAAATGACCGGATTTTCAAAGACTTATCATATAAAACTTTGACCCTACTACCATATTTTCGGAGAAATTTTCAGGTGTTTCAGTTTTGAAAAAACTGCGTTGTCACTTGTATTAGCATTGAGTAGAACACTTTTATATTACCCAACATGTCAGATGGCGTTAGTTACCTTCATCTCTTACGTAGTCTAAAACGATCCACGGGAATGAATTAATAATATACCATTGTAGTATGATTTTTTCTCGATTTGAATGAAAAAATCCAGTTCTAAAATTTCTTTAGCGTTTTTCTCAAAATACGGTTTCCAGACAGAAAAATTGAAATAACTCCATCCTGTCTCAAGCTATAACCAATAATTTTTTTTTGTTTTAAAGGTCTTGATTAGAGCTAACTTTTCATCGGACGGATTTTTGATATTGAACCCCAGGGCTGAGAAAAGTGGAATTTACTGTCGTCGAACCACACTTTTTTATGCTTATTTTGCAGACATGCCCACAAAATCGTTCGTAAAAAATGAATGGAAGGGACTTTCAAAATTCCGTCCGATGAAAAGTTGCGTACAGAGGCTAGCTACAATTTGAAATCCACCCGAGCTCTGTATCCCTTCTCTGGACGGAGTTATTTCGATTCTTCTGAAAGGTAGGAAAACCAATCAAAACTACGATTTAGTCGGACATGCGAAGCTGAAATTTTTATCATAAGCGTTTCTCACTAAGACCAATCATCCCTGAAAATTTCAGCCCAAACGAAGGGTCCCAAGTGGGACTTCATTTCTAAGGGGGGGGCCCCCCTTAATGGAAATGATACTTATTGGAAATGAGATCCAATATAAGACACATCAACATTTAAAACATAAAATGAAAAGAAATTTGTGGCCATTGATCAAATTTTTTCAGTGAAAACAATTCACAATTGAATACTAAATAGAAATTCTATGTTAAAAGTGACAGATCATAACCAAACAAAGAACCAAGAAAGGTTGAAAAAAAATCAGTGAAAAGATCGATTTTTTCCAATCCTTGAGATAATCAGGTTTTCATCCAGACACGTCATGGGTCTGAAATTTTTTAGGCTTCTCCTAGTCCCATTGAGTTCTGCTTGTACCCAAAATATAGAATCAAATGGTATGCTATATTAGGGAACTTTTTCTCATTAGTTGAATATGAGTCAAACTAACTTTAATCTTGTTATACCGATTTTGATTTGTTCATCACTGAAGATAATGTTAATTTTTTTTACTTTACTTAAATTAATAATAGCTGAAAGACCTTCTATTCAAATATTTTCATATTCAATCTCTAATACATTAATATTAATCAAACGATGACAAATTTTAATTAATCGAAATTTTAATATTAATTTAATAAGATGATCATAAAAGATTGAATTTTTTAAAATTGTTCTATATTTTGGTAATTGAAATAATTCATAAACATATGTGTACATAGAACAAGTAACTGTATAAAAACAGTTATGATCATAGGCGAGTATGCGTGTGGGTGGGTGTGAGTATGGATCATTTATGAAAGTACACCCACACCCTCTCCTTGTATACAGCCATTTTCTAAATTAAATAGAAAATGAGCAATATTGTTATGTTCTAAGCTAATATGATCTTCAGCAAGATAGAATGACATGAAAGAAATCATATCATTAGTAGAAATTCATTTTTTTAAATAATCGTGTTTCACACAACGGAGTTACTGATTTGGATCGCTAATGCTTTGCTCAAAATTGCTTTTTTTTCTTTCTCTGAGTTAAAAAAATATTAAGTTAAGTAAATTACTGATGTAGTCACGACTTTGTAGCAATATAACAAAATCGTCGATCAATCGTGTTTAATCATCGTCCAACCTTAAGCGATTTTGATGACAAGAGTTAATAAAACGGAATTAAAAGAAATCGATAAAAATCACGGGGAAGAACAAAATCATTAATGAAAAGCGACAATGTCGTTCACAAAAAAAAAACTAACATCAATAGATTGGATACGTAAATCAGTTTGATATTGTTACGGTTAAGCATATTGCTGTGTCCATAGGCGAGCTTTTTCTGGACTTTTATTAGGTAAATTTTTATCGGAAAGAGGTACTTTATAGTTCGGTTGAGCCAACAATGAATGCATCGAAGTGAATATTTGACTGAGTGTTATATTTGGTGCCCATGTATAATAAAGTTGATCGTGCCATGCTATACCCGTTTCTGAATGAACATTTGGATGACATATAGGAGTTTTAAAAAAAAAATCTGGTGGTTTGAAAGGATATTCTGGTGGGAATTTTATTACAAATCGAAAATAACCACCTGCATAAGGACTATTTTCTGGACCAGTCATTATACCTGTCACCACATTAAGACCATCATCAACTAATAATTCTTGTTCTCGAATAAACGGTAATGGATTGTCAACTGCTGCGTCTAAATCACGCTGTAGTCGTCGAACCTGTCGATTAGGAACTATTGGAGGAAAAGAAGTATCACTAGCCATATTTTATATATTTGTCTAAAAATACGCTATATATATATATTTATATTTTTGAATTTTTATTTGAATATTTAGGAAATAAATTTTTATTCATGAATGTCCATACTTCACTTATTTTTCGATCACCCTTAGTTAATGGTGTATAATTTAAACTTCGCAAACCGGGTAATAAATATAAGACATATGAACGTAAATAAGGCACATTTATTTCAATTGGATTACCATGTAATTTTAAATATTATCATTATTTTAATGATACTAATTTTTGCATTTCTTTTATATCGCTCAGCATATTTGTATGAAAACAAAAAAATAAAAATGCAGCAAATTGTGTTACTACCTGACAAAAATAAACTAGTTGGAAAAAAATTTATAAATAAATAAATAAGAATGAAAAGATTTCAAGGGTGGTGAAAAATACCAATCAAAGTCAACTGCAGATATGGTGGCGACATCTGTGATGAGAGTGAGCGGACAAGAAAAATATATTATAGCGATAAAGTATGATCTAATATCTGATATTTTTTCAATTAAACGTGAGTTTCATCCGAAGATAGCACCATAATAGAGGTTCGCCGTGGAAAATGCAGCATATGTGGCAGATATTCGAACGAACACTCTGGAAAAATTAAGACGTATGAGATCTCTAAACAAGACATTTTGACTAACATATGATTAGTGGAAAGAGATACAATTTAGATACTTCAAGTGTCAACGGATGACCGATTTTAGACACTCGTGTATCTTACTCATTTCTGATTCGATGATATGCACCAATGATTGAAACGTCTTGTAACTGTCGTCCCTAGACGTTTTCATTGATCTACGATCTCTACCTTCTAGAAATAAATGAATTAAGAATTACGAAGAACTTTTTTGCTGAAAAACATTTTAGAAGAAAAAGTAGATTTTTTATTTACGAGAACGAAATATTTATAGATGCAAGTTAATCATTCAAAAAATACAAAACTTTTCTCGTTAATAAAAAATCAAGTTTTTCTTCTAAAATTTTTTTTCAGCAAAAAGTTCTTTTTAATTCTTAATTCATTTTTTCTAAAAGGTATAGATCGTAGATCAACTGAAACGTCTAAGGAAAACGGATACAATAAATTGGATTAGTCGATATCTGCCTGACAGGGATATCTGGTACTCAAAAAATGTTTCTCAACTCATATTAAGTTCAATTAGATGGTTATTTCATTGATTTGAAAAAAATTAGTTGAACAGCTGGTGTTGTATAAGGACGTTGTGGTCACATCAATGCTGAAGATATTAGTAACGTACGATGCAAAAGTAATGGCACAAAATGTTGATCCATATTTTTCTTCGATAGAAGGAGACTGAAACAAAACTTTTTTAACCAAAAGATAGAGTTTCTTCTGCTCTTCCAGATTGTATATAATTTATTGTTTCTACCATGTCTATAAATGAAACAACATGACAAAAAAGAAGTATATCATCGAAAACATTTTGCACTTTTTTATAAAAAAGCAGCAGAAAATGTCGATCTTTATATTTCTTCAATAAACACGTTTTGAAAAGAAAATTTTATTACCAATCGATAGGAAATTTTCTCCTCTTTCGAATGATGTATACTTTATTTTTTCATTTGCATCCCTCAATGAAATGAAACAAGAAAAATAGGAAAACACTCATAATGGATTTGGAGTTTTTTCATGAACTTGTCAAAAACATCTTCTAGATGGCAATTAATCATAGTTAACTCTGATCCACAAGATAGCTTCAAAAAGTTCGTAAACATGTGAGTAACTGTTGTCTTGCAAGGGCTTTTTAATGAGTACAAAATGAACCAAATTATAATCGTCTACTATAGTGTTTTGACATGCTCATACAAAAATTGCACAATTAATGCACGGGTGTTTCTCTCTCTTTCTTGTTTTATTTCATTGAGAAATGCGAATGAAAAAATAAATTATATACCATTCGAAAGAGGAGAAAATTTCCTTTTCGAAACTAATTTGTCGAAGAGTTATGCAAAAAACAAGGAAATCAACATTTTGTGTCATTCTGCTAAATTTTACGAAAAGTGCAAAATGTTTTCGATGATATACTTCTTTTTTATCATGTTGTTTCATTTATAGACATGGTAGAAACAATAAATTATATACAATCTGGAAGAGCACAAGATGTTCTATCTTTTGGTTAAAAAAGTTTTATTTCAGTCCCCTTCTATCGAAGAAAAATATGGATCAACATTTTATGCCATTACTTTTGCATCGTACGTTATGTCGTTTATTGGTTCAGATAGTCCAAACCACAAGATTTTCAGTATATTTTGAATATCAAACAATGACCTCATACAGCAATTCCCAACGACTCAGACTAGACTGGACAAAAAGAGTTGGTCAGAATTAAGACTACAACAATTAGTATCGTGTATACGTGATCTGCAGTCCCACCATACCGTCTAAAATACCGACCCAATTGCTTTACTTGTATTAATGTTTGTTATTTTATGCATTACAGAAGGAGGTGACAGCCAACATGTGAATATAAAGCGCATTTGTCATAGATTTCTTTGATACCACTCACAGATGTTTTAGGCAAGAAAATTAGGCGCTATTTTACATTATACACGCATCATACTCGAAGTTGAGCAGTCGAGAGTGGTGACCCGTAAGAGTACCGACGATCGATTGCAAGCTTCCTCTTGCG